AATACCAACAAACAATATCAAAATACACAAATATGTGCAACTACCCTACAAAATTTAGTCTTGCACCACCGTTTCGAGCCCCCATTGACATGCAATAGCCATATGCAAATGGGAGGATCTTGGCTAAGCAAAACCAAGATTCTTACACCTGACATCAGATTTGATTTCATGTACAATAGCACTGTAATTCTTAAAAATTTTCTGGTGAATTCTCTTGTTCCTCTCCATCCAGATATGGTAAACTGCAGCATTCCATGCTAACTTGATTAAAACACAGTATAAGGATTTTCTTCTAACCTTTTTCCCCATCCAACTTAGCTAGCCACTCCAAGAATCAGTGAAAGGGATGGCAAGCATGTTGCTGAGCTGCTGCCATACTCTTCCTGCATAACTGCATTTAAAAAGTAGGTGCTCATTTGTTTCAGAATTGTTGTTGCATAGGATGCATGTATCAAGGATAGCAGGAGTCCATTTCCTTTGCCTAGTCCTTGTGCTCAATCTATTGAGAATAGCTAGCCAACTTATGAAATTGTGCTTGGGAATAGCCTGAGAGAACCAGAACAGCTTATACCATATTTTCCTATCTTGCTCGCTTCTTAACCAGTGCCAGGTTTGCCCAGTTCTGAAAGAGCCAGAAGAGGAAGGCAACCATCCTACTGAATCCTCCTCTCCTTCCTTTGGGTAGAAATCAAACAAATGCATTTGAATTTGTACTAGTTGGGGAGATCTAGCAGGAGGCGAGGCCATTTCCAAAAGCCACCATTTATTACTCTAGCCAGTTTTGCCTGGGACAGCAGCCCTGCATCTTGAATAATAGAGCTGCCATACACCTGTAATAAAGGACCAGAAGGATGCCAGTTGTCATGCCAAATATCTATATATCTTGGCCATCACCTAGTACATGTTGAACAAGCTTCCTAGCCAGTTGTCTTAGCTTCAAAATTTTCCCCCATCCCCAAGAAGCATAATAGGTATTTTAACAGTCCAGAAACTATTGCCCCTGAGTAAATATTCATGGACCCACGCTACCCAAACAGAACCTGCTTTAGAGAACAATAACCAGATAAATCTAAGAATGCAAGTTTGATTCCAGTGCACCAAGTTTTTTAGTCCTAAGCCACCCTCCTGCTTGGGAGTACAAACAGTAGCCCATTTTACCTGGCTAGTCACATTGAAACAAGGTCTAAGAAAACATATCAGACATTTTTAAGTGTTATTTTGTATTCAACTTTTTTGAGAGTTTCTGATAAGTAGTTGGATTGTGTTCCTTAATTTTTTCTTCTCATGGAAGGTTAGCAATGCTGAACAAACAAAGGGGACTGTATTGAGTTAGGGTGGTGTTATGTGAATCTCTATGAAGAACACATGCCCTCAATCTGAAATATGTTCGAGATAACTGATTTTTGTTTTCGGCCACTGGCACCGTTTGTTTTCAAAATTTTCATAGTGATTGAAGGGATTACATGTTGAGTAAGAATAAACCTTTTTCTTTGAACAAAGTTCTCCTATTTATCTCTGCACATCTATTTGGTGTTGTTATTCTTGCTTGTTTGATAGCAAAAAGTTAGGATTAGAAATTTATATGACTGATAGTCCTGCTTTATCTTCTTTGAACTTGTAAATTGTTGAGAATTATCACATTAGGATGAATTCACTGGTTGCCTTTAAGGTTTGAGTTGTTTCTTGCGGCCATGTAGAAGAGAACTGAATAATCTACTGAAGATGGCTTTGTGTATTTCTTTTTAAAAGACAAAACAGATCTATATACAACAAGGCTGTGATTTCAAAATGACCATGCTAAGCTGGCGTAGGCAGTGAATGGCATTGCAATATACAGAATTCATTTGCTCCCAAAATTGTAAGATTTTATACTCACTGGGTAAAATCTAGAAAGAAAGAGTAGGGGGGTTTTATATGTACAAGGGAATAGTTACTCAGTGGATTTTTCTGACTACAGTTGCCACCTTACATCATTTTCTCCTATGAAATTTCATTTCTTCTTTTATACATCTCTAGGTAAGTATAATTTGGTTTGAATTCATTTACACGGGGAAAATGGAGTGAAAGTTTGCATTTAAAGCTTGTATTTTTGTGCAGCCATATTCTGTGCTTAAAGAGCAATGAAGGCCCTTTCCGCTATTCCTTATTTTGATCTCTGTTTGTTGCTCCTACATTCTTGAGCCATTCAACAACTTCCTTGATTGTTGGCCTCTTGAAAGGGTTCTGGTTGACACACATGCAGGCAACATCCAGCACCTGCAGCATCTCTTCATCAAAACCCCTCCCTTTTAGGCGAGGATCAAAGACTTCATCTTGCTTGCCTTCACATCTCATTTGCTGCACCCAAGCAACCAATGACATTTTTGGCTTAAAAACTTCCACAGGCCTCTTTCCAGTGAGCAACTCAAGCATGACAACTCCAAAACTATACATATCTCCTCGCAGAGTGGCTACCCAGGCCTGCCCATACTCTGGAGGAATATAACCCAGTGTACCAACAAGCTCTGTTGTGACGTGTGTGTGGTAAGGAAGAATCAATCTCGACAATCCAAAGTCTGCAACATGTGCCTCAAACTTGTCATTGAGAAGGATGTTGCTAGACTTGATGTCTCGGTGAACAATGTGTGGCTCACATATCTGGTGCATATAAGCTAACCCTCTACTTGCTCCCCTAGCAATGTTTAGTCTGGTAGGCCAGTCTAGTTGAGATGGACCATCAGCTTTCTCATGCAACCAGTAGTCCAGACTTCCATTCTCCATGTAGGAATATATTAGTAGTGGATATCCTTCATGCACACAATAGCCTTGCAGGGACACCAGGTTTTCGTGCTGTGCTGTTGACAGTGCCTCTACCTCTGCTTTGAATTCCCTTTCCATTAGGCTGAAGTCTCCAGAAAGTTTCTTAACAGCCAATTTGGTCCCACTTTCCAGTATTGCTTTGTAAACCAAACCAAACCCTCCACAACCTATGATATTTTCTTGATTGAAATTGTCAGTTGCTTTCAACAGTTCATATATGGTGAGATCTTTAAGCTCGTTACCATTATTTGGGAACAATACAAGGCTATTATCCTTGACAGCCTCCGGAGGAACCCCAGAATAAGAGTTTCTGGAAATTGTACCTAATTCAATTTTGTCACTGTCCCCCCTTGGAGTAACTCTCCTTTTGGACAATATCCACAAAGCTAGCATGGTAATGACCAAAGCGGTACTGAAACAGATACCAAGGACAACTCCAACAATAAGTTTCCTGTTTAAGTCTTCATGAAGTTCATCAGTTGCATTAGAAGCTCCTGATGCATTTGGGCAAATGCGTTGCAGAATTGAACCACATAAACCGGGGTTTCCTTCGAAGCTGGAGCTGGTAAATGTGTCAAATTGGCCCCCAGATGGTATTGGCCCTTGGAGGTTATTGTATGCCACACTGAATGAAGACAAGAAGTGGAGACCTTTTAGCGATGCAGGAATCTGACCAGAGAGATGGTTTCTAGAAAGATCCAGTTTCTCCAAGTTTGTGAGGTTTGATATTTGATCCGGAATGCCACCAGAGAAGTCATTATCACTGAGATCCAACTGATGAAGATACTTCAATCGACCAATCTCTGCAGGTATGTCACCAGTGAGGCTGTTGTTTCTCAGGTAAATGGCCGGTGGCAGGCTGGCAAGCTGATTGTACAACTGCTGATTGGTAATGGTAACATTGTTTGGTGCGACAAACACAGGCAACTCCAGATAACTTCTGTCCACTTCAACAGTGGATTCTTCAGTTTCCAATGCCAAAAGCCTTGTGAGGTTAATGGGGATTTCTCCTGAAAGGAGGTTGTCAGACAAGTCTAGGTAGAAAAGTTTTGAGAGGTCACCAAACCAACTGGGAATGGTACCATTGATTCCATTTTGAGACAGGTCCAGTACCTCCAGGTTGTTTAGCTTAGCTAGCCAGTTCGGAACCTGGCCAGTGAATCGGCAACCACCTAGACCCAAAACCTGGAGGTTTTGAAATCCATCTGCTTCTACTGCATATTCATAATCTGGTATCGGTTCATCAAAGAAATTCTTGGAAAGGATGACAGTAGTAAGATTCTTGCAACCCATCAGTATCCTTATTGCCCCGGAAGCATTTGTTAGATTATTAGTGGAAATTGAAAGGAATGATAAAGATTGCAAGGCACGTATGTCCGATGATATTTCTCCCTCTAGGAAATTGCTGGCTAGTCTAATTGCTGTTAGTGACTTGCAAGAATAGAGGCTTAAGGGCAAATTACCTGTGAAGTTGTTGTTGCCAAGGTCAAGGGTGGTAAGCTGATGGAGAGTGGAGAAATTAAAGCTGGAGAGGTTACCGCTCAGCTGATTGACTCTCAAATTCAAAGTTCTAAGATTTGTGCAACTCATGAGAGATGTTGGCAGAATACCAGTCAAGCTATTGACATGAAGCAGCAACTGTTCCAGGTTGGAAAGCTTACCAATATCTTGGGGAATTGGGCCCGTAAAGTTATTGGAATAGAGCTCAAGGATGTTGAGTTTGGTAAGTTCGATAATGTCATCTCTGATTTCTCCGGACAGGTGATTGGAAGGTAAAGACAGCTCCTGAAGTGATACCATTTTGTAAATATCTTCAGAAAGATTTCCTGAAAGATTGTTGAACCCCGCTCGGAGAGTCTGCAGATTAGAACAGTTTCCAAGTCCTGGGGGGATTTCACCGCTGAATTCATTGTCAGATAAATCCAAGAGGATGAGAGAGGTATTGTTGAGGCAGATATAGGAAGGAATCTGGCCTGCAAAGCTATTGTTGCTCACATTGAAAATGCTCAAGTTGCTGGCTGCCTTCAGAAATGGATTAGATGGGATTTCTCCCAAGAAGCGATTGCTAGACAGGTCAATTATCTGCACAGGAACAAGACTGCTGTAATCTGATAAGTTATCCAGAGGTAATCTGCCAGAGAGCTTGTTATAGCTGAGATCAAGGATTTGGAGGTGATTGAGGGATGAAAAGAATCCATTGGGAAGGGTACCAATGAAGCGATTGTTGGAGAGATTAAGATGAGTAAGATGGGTTAGGTTGGCAATAGATGAAGACAGATTACCGCTCAGGCCTTTAGACGGAAGCAAAACCTGGGTGACTCGACCACGCACGGAATCACAAGCTATCCCTTCCCAGTTGCAGCAATCTGTAGAAGACCAGTTCAAAGGATTTGATGGCAGCACCGATGTGTTGTAGAATAACAAAAGAGAATCATGATCCCGTTGGTCACAGGCAGCATGGCAGGGAGAACCAAAGAGGCAAGAAAATAGCAGAAATTGTAGAGAGAAAATCTTATAAACCATGGAGAAGGCCGTTGTTCTTGTTCCTGGTCTTAATCCTGGTACTGGAGCACCAAGACTGGTCTCTCTATCATCTATCATCATCGGAACAAAGGAAGTAGAATGGTAAAAAGACATGAGGAGCACAAAAAGGTGACCAAGTACATAATATTATCTGGTGTTGGCAATGCTTGTTCAAGATTGGAGATTGCAGTAAACACACCATTGACCTTACATAGAGAGAAAAGGAAAGACAGAGAGAGGGTACATGCGTGGGTGACGTTTAGTCGTTGATATTATAATAATAAGCAACTAGAAAAAAAAAAAGAAAGGAAGAGCAAAGGGCTGTAGGTGGTATTATTATTTATTATGAGAACAAAGAATACTCAAGAAGGATGAGGCGTTTACTTTTGGGGCGGCTGGTAGTGGCTGGTGGTGGTATAGTGGACTTTTTCTAAGATGGATTTGATTACCCAAGATGAAATGAAAGCGTGTGGATATGCAAAGATGAGAAAAAGAGCCTCATCCTAAAGCATTACCAAAAAAAAACAGGTATCTCTCTTTCCTTCTGCCCAATCGTTGTTTTCTTTTTTGGGTTTGTGGGTTGACTCAGACTGGTAGGGTTTGATTGGGCAAGAGTGCTGTTATTGCTCTGTCATGATAGCTATCAGTTCGCTGTGTCTTCCCCCCCATTTTAATTCCTAGAATTGCTCCCCTTTGCTCGACTTAATTATTCAGTTGCCCCCACTTTTTCTTCATATTTTAGGAACCCCATTTTCTTTTAGTTCTTGGGTTTTTCTTTGACCGGTTGCCTAAACTTGAACCCCAAATAATTATTGGAATTCAACCACAGGAGCTCTGCCAACTGGTACTTGTGTATATATATTTCATTCTGAGTTGCCCACTTGCACACATAATGGTTTTACCCTCAACGAGCACTAATTTTTATGTGTTTTTTAACACAAGTGCAGTGGCAGACAGGGAAATCAAGATGTGGATTCAGGGCAAGTGAAATCTTTGCCCAACATTTGTGGATTGCAATTGCAAATAAACAGAGGATCTTCCAGAAATTGTTAATTGGTCCAGGTGTAAAACCATTTATTTATGCACAATCATTTCATAACATTTTTATATATACTTTTGTGGAGTATATATTTTTATTAACAAATCAACAGATAACCTTAATTATTAAGCATCTAGGTAGTGCAGTGCAGATTTATCAAGGTTTTAGATCCATCTAACTTCAATTAAATCTTGACTTTTTTTAATGGTCACAGTATAAATCAATTATTAAGTTGAATTATAAATTATACCAAATCATCTTAAATTAAATATGAACCACTACAAAAACTTAAAACTTTAAAATTTTAAGGTTTCTAACTCTTTGTCTTACCATCAATGATAATGTTTAATAGTAAAAAGTTGTTACATTTTTTTCTCTTGCAGTCTCAAATTCACTATATGTAGGACTATGATAAGAAGACTTTATCATTAATATTCTGTTAAATTTTAAAAAAGAAATATTGTTTTAAACAAATATGTAATCTGAATTTACAAGTCAATATTCCTAGATACAAAATATTATACGAGTTAGTAGACCTTCTATATCGTTATTAGCTTTCAACTAACTTTATATAAAATCAAATTTTAAAAAGAATAAAATAAAGAAATGACAATTCTTTTTTTTATCACACAATATAACACAATTAATCTCTGGTATACAGCCTGTATTGTTGTGCCTAAAATTATCGGTTCAACCAACCGAGAATAAGTTGTTTAGAGGAATAAAAAAGTGATTAAAGTAAAACGGCGAAATGACAAGGAAGTCTGGTTTTTTTTTAATCAAAAGTTTTGAGTAGTCCAGTTTCATTCATTTTGTTTTATTACTTTGAGTATGCAAATTAAAGGTGTGAGTACAACTACTTAGGTATAAATTTTAAATATTATATTCATATAAAATTTTAATTATTTATTTTTTATATTTAATAAT